GGACCAAAAAGGGGATTTTTTTGGTACAGGGACTAAAAAGGGGCTTTTTCCTATAGTAGAGGGACCAAAAAGGGTATTTAACCTTCTTTTTTTAAGAGTATTATAGATAAATACAAATATTGTCCTAAAATCCTTAATTTGGGAAAAAAAAGTCAAAAAAAAAGAGGAGAGAATGAGTATTTTATTTTGTGAAATTATTATTTTGCCAAGTTATTTAAACAAGACAAGATTCTTTTTCTTTCCAAATTTACCTTTTATTATCCCTTTTCCTTTCCCATCTCTAGCCATCACACTTTCATCGGCAAAAACCCCACACCACTACAATAAGATTTAGGGTTATAAATTTAAGATTACAAATTTGGGTTATAGATTTGCGGCTACTTTTTCATCTACCTTTACCAAGTAACCCCACTATCCTCTTTTCTAAATTTGCAAAAACCCCAAATCTATAACCCCACCATCCCTTTCTCTCCCCCAGCCTAGCTTTGCTTTTCTATTAGTGGCTCCTCCTTTTGTATTTGTCACACCCCAAAACCGGTAGCGAAATAGACGTCGTACACTTGTGAGAAGATCCCATAAATGCACAAGGCTTGGAACTTGTTTAATTCATAAGCTATAATTAATATCTGGCAATCCACTAATCTCAAATTAATATCTCAAAATAAAATCTAGCTTTTATAATCCAAGCTTGACTAGGCCAAAAGTGCACAAAAATTTTACAACTTCATCAATATAGTCATGACTATGTCCAAGGGAAATCTAGTCTAGCAGGCCTATCTCCAAAATGAACTAAATCCAAAATATAAGTGGCTAGCCTTTTGGCTCGTCACTCCTCTTGGTTTCCTACGTCTTTAGTCTCACTACCTAAATGGTGGATAAGGAAAAACTATGTGAAATAACTCAGTAAGTAAAATATAAATAACCCTCACTGAAATTTAAAGCGCCAGGTAAACAATTAAATTTTAAACAGGAGGAAAATATCAGTTGTAATTCATTTATGCATACTAAAATTTATTAGTGGTCCCCTCAATTAGTGCTGGCCAGTGTACTCTCCTAGGTGACTAGATAACAAAAATACCAATGTACTCTCCCATTGGCTAGATAGCAGAAGTACCAACATACTCTCCTACTAGCTGGATAACAAAAAAAACAGTGCACCCTTGCATTGGCAGGATGAACTAGTCCTATAGAAGTACATGTCGACATGTGACAGCGTTTACAACTCCTACTGGTGAGCATCAGTAATCATGACCATATTAGAGACAAAACCATGCAGGAGTTCAACAGGAAAATCTATAATTTACAAATATGCAGAAGTTAACAAGAAAGTCATAACTTACAAACCAATTTTCAAATTTCCAAAACAAACAAGTAAACTCCATGTAGGCATGCTCAACTCAATAAAGATAATAACAACTTCATTTCAAACCCTTAATGCTCATGTGCTAATAACAATCAGTTTTGGTCTCGCGACCATCTCAAAAACAATTTAAAATATGCTTTTAAAACCTTCACCTTAAAATCCAACTGCATTTACCATAGTTTTACTTACTTCGTCTTGTAGGTATACAATAAGAAAGGAAATCAAGAACTCAAGGCTCTTGAGATGATTTAGAACCTATACCACATCAAATGAATAAACCATAGTACAACATACTTCATTTAACTAATTTGGTTTCTAATTCTAGAATCAAGTTCCTAACCAAAGAAACAACTTCCTCCTACACTTCTCGGTCACTTCTATGGTTAATCATACTAAAATACACTTAAAATAGCTCCAAATGTCATATGAAATAGTAGGTGTTCCAAATAGATTTTTTGGGTAGAATAATGTGGAAAAATGAGAGAATCCAAACTTAAAACTACCCCAAATAGTAACACAAAAGTTGGGTAGCAAGGTGGGAGTTTCCACCATTTAAAATGGTCTCAAAATGCTTGGAAAGAGCCCTAAACAATAGGGATTTTCTAGCAAAAACAGCAGTGAAAATGGTGTAGAAAACAAATCAAAACTAGGCAGTATTTAAGTAGACATGCAGCAGCAAAAAGGTAGCAAAATAAAGCAATAACAAGGGGTTTTAAAGTAGGAAAACAGCAGCTAAAGGTTTAGTAAGGCCACGATGCGAGGTGACAATAGGTGCTGTGGGAATAAAGCAGAAGACAAAGCAAATTTCTAGGCACTTTTGAGGGAAAGTTTTTGTCAGATTTTGAACTAGAAGTTCCAATAGAATTCACGCCTAGAAATTGATCAATTTGGGCTAAATGGTCAACAGATAAATTCTAGCCCCATGTCTTAACTTTTTAAAGGATCAAGAATCACCTTAATGTGACATCTACAGATAAAGTTATGGTCAGAATACTAAGGGCCTATTTGGTGGAGCTTCTTGGAGCTTTTACTTTTACTGTACTATTTATAAGTGATAAGTTTAAATTTTTATTGGAAGGAAAATTTAAAAGTTGCTTTTAGAAATAGAAAAAAAGTGAGTAAGAAGTGAGTAAAAAAGAAGTTTAGTAAAAAAGAAGTTTATAAAAAGCAAAAATTTGAAACTTTTCAAAATTTACTATTTAAGGTCTTTTTAAGTTCAAAAATAAGTTAAAAAATGTACGTTTTTAAGAGCAAAATTTAAACTTATGAACATGAATAGTGTCAAAAAGCTAAAGCACTTACAAGCTTCACCAAACATGCTCTAACTTAAGGTTGAGCTGCCAGTTCCATCTGCCTTTAGAAACCGAATTTGCAGTAGAGTTTTCACCTTGAAAACAGCTTAATTGGGTTAAATGTCCAATAGAAAAACTGTAGAGCTATCTCTTAACTTTCCATAGAATCAAGAATAGACCTAATCTAATAGCTATAGAAAGAGTTATCAGCAAAACACTACTATAAGGTCATGCTGTTAGAATTTCCAGCAAAAAGGAAATCAGATTCTGGTGGTGCTAGATTATGGGCAAAATCAAGGGGGAACTACAGAAAAATCCCAAAATTGAAAACTCTAAAGGATTAGAGTTAATCCAATTCAAATCAAGGATGAAAAGATGAGCAATATGGCTAAATTCTTATTAGTAAATGCTGGAAAATGGCAACCTTCTCTTACATTGCTGAAGAACTTGACATGGACTTAAAAATTGGGGAATATTAGCAGCAATATTTAGATATGATCATGATTTTTGGAACCCTAAGACTATAAATCTCTAAATCAGACTTGGAAGAATAACTAAATCTCACCTGATTTCTGGTGAGAAGAGGCTAGGCATAGGCTATGGCTTGTGGAGGAAAATTTTGGTGAGGGCTGTAGGGTACTCACATAAGAAGCAAGAGTAAAACTGAAAGATCAACCTTAACCCCTTTATATCACTAGATTTTCTCTTTTAATACCCCTAAGGTTTGTAAAATTTAGTTATTAGGCCCAGTAATAATAATTTCTATCCCATAAGTCCCTAATTTAAACTCTAAAATTTTAGGATATTATAGTATTGTTTAGGATACTATTTATGTTCACATTTCTTACCAACCAAAAAATCCAAGGTCACCCCTATTCATCCCCACAACAAGCACATCGATTTTGTCCCTAAATGGCAAGCTTCATCCTACTCTGGTGGAGGAGATCTTAGGAGATAGTTGCATTGGTTTAACACCATTGTTGCAGAAGATAATGGCTCAAATCAAAATGGAAGTAATGTAGATGTCCGCTAACCAATTTGTCAAGTTTCCCTAAATTCTTTGATCTTTTCACTCAATTCTTTTCTTTCATTGCCCCATTAGAAAAGAGATTTTGCTTGTTTTGGATTTTATACAAACAAAAATTGAAGAGTTTTCACCATTCTCCTTCTTTTTCTTAGTAATATTTTTTTTTTGTTTAATGAAGAAGATGAAAAATCATGCTTCTTGGTTTGATATCTTAAAGAATAGATGTATGATTCATTTATTGATTTTTTTTTTTAACAGCTTAGATTGATTCTTGGTATGCTCTAGATGATGAAGAATGATGAGCTTCCTAGTGATAATGGATAACCTAGGTCAATTGGATCTTGTTATTAGGTCCTTGAATTTGAATTTGATGAAAACTCATTCTTTTTGCTAATATTAATCATGTATGTGATTTAAATCTTCGTTTAGATGTCATTTTCTTGTGGTTGTTGTGTAAAGTAAACAAATGAATAATTTTAAGCTCTTCACCAAAGAAACTAGAGACATTGGCCTGCAAAAGGAGGACATTGAATGGAAAAGATAAGTGTAATATCCCAAAATTTTGGGGATATTTTAGCATTAAGTAAGGGACTTAATTGAGGAAAAATTTTATTTTGGGGCTTAATCGTAAAATTTTAAAAAGTTGAGGGGCCAAAAAGAAAGGAAATTAGGATAAGGATGAATTGCTTTTTCTTTGTCTTTTTCTTCTTTCTTTCTTCCTCCTCAGATCCGCGTGCCCTGCTCTTCCTCTTTCCCCTGACCCTTTGCACCCGACGAGCCTTGTTACCGCCCCCCTTTTTCCGGCCGGAAATCCGGCAAAGCTTGGGGATTTCTCCTTATTTTCTTGTTTTAAAACACCTGTTGAACCCAGAAATCTCCCTCCCCTGTTGGAAAATCCGGATCTGCCCTGCTTTGCTCTGCCCTTCCGCCGGCTGCTCCTACCTTGTGGGGGTGATTTGCTCCGATTTTGGGTAAGAAATAGCCATGAATCTCCCTTCTCTAGCTTTGATTGCCTTGGGTTTATGTTAATTGCTCTTATTTCCTGGAATTTTGGGTTAAAGCCGTGAGCTTTCTTCTTCCATGCCGCCGGCAACTTCCCCAACCTGCAGTCCGGTTTCTTTGCTTGCAAATTCTGGTATGTGGCAGCCTCTTTAAGCTTAATTTTGGCCTTTTTTTTGTTGCTTTTTTTTTCGTTGATTTGTTGGAAAATTGGGGGTTATTTCGGTTGGTTTTAGGATGAGATTTAAGTATTAATTCAAGTGGGAATTATGTGATTAAGTGTTAATTGACTGTTGTGTGATTTTGGAGAAAATCCCGTGAATTTAGCTAGTGGGTTAGCCAATTTTTGGAAGTTGGAGTTACTGTTCATGTCGAGGTACTATTCACGGGTCACTGTTCACACACCGAGGGTTAATGATTAACGGGGATTTAAAGGTTTAGTTTGTGATATAAGAGTGAATTTGGAGATATCCGGTTATGTGAAGATTGATAGAAATAGCATCGAGATTAGGGGTAGTCCCGATGATGATTTTACTTTGAATTTGTGGTGGTATGGTTATTAATTGTGGAATATTGTGATTAGGTTTTGATCGTTCTGTCACCGTAGCACTTGGGTTAGCCTTCTGTTCTGTGCGAGTGAGGTAAGTAAATTATGGTAAAACCCTTTGATTTTAAAGCATGTTTTAAACTGTTTTTGAGATGGTGGCAAGCTTTAAATTGATTTTATCTACATTTGACTGTGATTAAACTGAAATGGAAATTGTGATGGTTTTTATGAGAATTTCCTTGTTTTTCTGAAATTGAGCATGATTGGAAAGAAAATGAGGATTTTATTGATTTTCTGGAAATGAGCATAATTGAGAAATGAAAATGAGAATTTCATTGTTTTCTGGAATAGAGCATGCTTATTTGGGAATTGACTGAACTGTTTTGATGAACTGAGAGTTTGCAAATTCTGAGTTTTTTGTTAAATCCATGGTCATATGGAAATTTTCCGGTTTATGTCTGAGATTTGAGATTGATTGTGAATGATGGATTTTTCTGGAAATCCTGCATGGTTTTGTCTCGGATATAGTCATGATTACTGAGGCCCGCTAGTGGGAGCTGTAAACGCTAGCACATGTCGACATGTATTTCTGTGGAACCGGTTCACCCTGCCTATGGGGTTAAACATTGGCACCATTACTGACGCCTGCCAATGGGAGTGTGTAAACACTGGCACTATTACTGACGCCTACCAGTGGGAGTTTGTAAACACTGGTACCATTACTGACGCCTACCAGTGGGAGTTTGTAAACACTGGTACCATTACTGACGCCTGCCAGTGGGAGTTTGTAAACACTGGCCATGACTTGTAGATGAGACTACTGAACTGAGTTTTCTTCTGCATGTAACGGTTTGTCATGAAACGTTTTGTTATTGAACTGGATCTGATTTCCGCATTAATGGTTTATCATTAAAAGTCTGTTACGCTTACATGGTTTATCTGGCATGCTTCAAAGTTTTACCCAAGGGCTATCCATATTTACTTACTGAGTTATCTCATAGTTTTCCTTGTCCACCATTTCAGGCAGTGAAAGCGAGGACGGGGAAACCACGGGAAGTGACGAGTTAGAAGGCTAGCCATTTTGAGATTGATATAGATTTGAGAAACAAATCATGATCTTGTATTTGGAGATTTTATTGGAGACTTATGATATCAGAGTAAATTTTAAAGATTTGATCTTCAGATTTTGGTGGTATCAGAGTGTGATATGATAAGTTCCGAGCCTTGTGCACTTGTGGGACCCGTCTCACGAGTGCACGGCGTCTGTCGCGCCTCGGATTTGGGTTCTGGGGCGTGACAGATTTAGTGGTATCAGAGCTTAGGTTTGATTAAAATTTCATGATGTGAGAGCCTAGGTTTAAATTAAATACCTAGGATATGTTTTGAACTTGACTAGTTAATGGATTTAGAACCGTGGTGAGACGAGTGATGGGGTTATACAAGGGACGATTTTGATTTGTGTTGCCTGAATTTCCTGATCTGCTTTGATGAGGTAGTAATTCAGTTAGTTCTTGTTATTTGTCGTTGGTGAGTATTTTTGGAATTAATCTTGCTCACTATGCTCTTAGGACCTTGTTTGGAGCTTGGTCCCTTGTGATAGTGTGCTTGTTTTGGTTGTGGAAGGATGTATAAGGCCTTCCACATTAGGTCTGTTTGTTTGAGTATTCATCTGGGCATTCATACGTGAATGCGAGCATAGACATACATGAGCATATACACGCATACACGCATGCACACATGAGCATACATGCATCCACACATGGGCATTCATACATGCATGCATAAAGGCATTCATTCATACATGCATATGCATGCATTCATCCGTTCATGATTCGATATATCCGAGTGATGTTTATTCGTCTCGGATAGGGTTCCATCGTTTAGTTGGATTGATCATTAGACTCCCTGCCATGTTGTTGTGTTTGATGAGTGCCAAGTCTTGATTGAGTCAAGGGCACCACATAATCATGTCGATAACTCGAGTTTAGTTACTTGTGTTGAGGCGTGAAGTTATCTCTCACCTCCCAAATGACCATTGGAGGGGGTGGAGATTGAGATTGTTGTTGGCTTGTTAGAGTAGTGATGAGTACCCAGTCCCTGTAAAGTGAATATGATTATTGTACCCTTGTATTTGTTAGCCGTGTATTGTGAGATTGATTTCCTTGTTAGTGTGGTGGTTTGATATCAGAGTGGCGCAGCGGAAGTGTAGTAGGTCATGCTCTGATCATAGAAAGTCGGTAAGGCATTTGTTTGTCTTAGATTGTGTGAAGCCACTCACCAATCTAGACAATCCTAGATTTGAGTTTTGGGGACAAAACTCCTTTTTAGGAGGGGTGGATGTAATATCCCAAAATTTTGGGGATATTTTAGCATTAAGTAAGGGACTTAATTGAAAAAAAATATTGTTTTGGGGCTTAATTGTAAAATCTTTAAAAGTTGAGGGACTAAAAAGAAAGGAAATTAGGATAAGGATGAATTGCTTTTTCTTTTTCTTTTTCTTCTTTCTTTCTTCGTCCTCAGACCCGCATGCCCTGCTCTTCCTATTTTCCCCCCGACCCTCTGCACCCAACGAGCCCCGTTACCGCCCCCCCCTTTTTCCGGCCGGAAATCCGGCAAAGCTTGGGGATTTCTCCCTATTTTCTTGTCTTAGAACACCTGTTGAACCCAGAAAATCCCAAATCTGCGTCTTCTTCCCTCTGCTGTCCGTCGGCTTCAACTTGTGGGTTTGAAATTTCTGGGCGTTTTTCGGTAAGAACAGCCCTGAATCTCCCTTTTTCTCTTGATTTAGGCTTGGGTTTACCTTGAATTGTGTTTTGGTTTTTGGATTGAGGTAGCCGTGAGTTTTCCCCCATGGGTCCCGTCGACTTCCTCACCAGCCAAGCTCGGGTTCTGCTAGCTGGAATTTTGGTAAGTTGCCGGCTCCCAAGTCCAATTTATCCATGTAATTGTTGCCTTGTGTTGATTGGGTTTTTGCTTTTGAATAGCCCATTGCTGTCCGAAATTCTGTTGAAAGAGGGGAGGAAGTTCGGCAGCCTCTAAGCATGAGTTTTGTTTAATTCATGTAGAAACTAGCTTAACTTGGTTGTTGTGAGGTTAATTGTGTGAAACCCCCGTGAATTAGCTATGTTTTGCTAATTTGGGAGTTGAAGTTACTGTTCACGAGGTACTGTTCAC